TTAATTCTGCAGAGCAATTTGTTGTGGTCCTAGAGGTGTGAAAAGACATGCAAACACACGCGCCTCTCCAGGGTAAAGCAGTGTAATGCATGAGAAGGGCAGCAGTGCGACGGTTCATTCATCACTGTCAGTGTGCGCGAACACCGCTGAGACCCACAGACATACACACACGTGCCAACATGACCCTGCCATTCAACCACAACACAACCACTGTGCAACTGTGTGGACAGATGCAGTGTGTGTGCAAAGCCAAGTTTAAAGGGTTAATTCATTCACACACACCAACAAAACTAGGGCTGCTTTCTATTGGAAAAATGTAACATTGCAATATTTTTTTTTATTTTGTGATACATATTGCGATATTTCACCTCATGGGAAGATAATTTCACTATTTGGAAAAAAATTATAATGTTAAATCATATGGGATGATTCTGCAGTGGGAATGCATCTGCATAAAATGTAATAAACAAATCCCCCGACACATTTTCGTTGTGGTCTGTGCTGTTCGCAGTGTATTTCTCTATTCGCATGTGTTGTGAGTATTTTTATGTATAACAATCTACGTTTAATAAATACAAATCAAGTAAAATACACAATTGAAGTAAAATGTTTCCCGAGAATTCAAGTACAGTAACTGAATGATAAAAATTAAATAATTCAATAAAATTAATCATACACTGTAAAAAGTAAATCCGTAAAATTTACGGTAAAAAAAAAAAAACAGCAGCTGTGGTTGCCAGTACTTTACCGTTAAAAACACGATACAAACCGTAAAAGTAATTTTTAATTTTTACGGTAAATTACCGTATTTTATTAATTTATAGAGGTAATATGTCTGTATTTTGAATGATCAACATCTACACATCTTTTGTTACACAGTTAGACACGTTAGCACACCCACATTCAGATGGTAATGGGAAAGTTACATAGTGAGCCAATGCTTATCACAATTAACTTCTCCCACAAGCAGAAAAGAGTATCAGCATATAGAAGGTGCTCAGTGTCATCCACCAGCTACTTAACACCAGTATGGTAACCCGCATAAAATTAAAGTCATGAAAAAACATTGATTACCAACATTAGATGTAACATAAATCTCTAATGTACATAACTGATGGGGAAACAACTAAAAAGATCCATATTAATATCAACCAAATGCATAAAAAGTTATGTGCCATGCAGGGAATTCTGGGAAGGTCAATTTACGGTTATTTGCCGTTTATATTAAGGAAACATACCGTTAACCAGGTTACGGATTTGTACTGTAGCATTTTTTTACCGTTGAAATCACGGCCATTTTTTACAGTGTAGTCAAGGTCACAAATGGTACAATTTCTTATACCTGAATGGTATTTAGTATTTATACAATCACAGGCATCAAAAACCCATGCCAATGATAAATTATAACACAAGCTCATTGCATGTATCCTGCGATGTGACTATTGCGAATGATCACATTGTGACATCGATGCTGAAACGATATATTGTGCAACCCTAAACAAAACGTATGTGGTTCCAAACCTTTATGTCTTTTATCGATAGAAATGAAAAGGCAGATTATTGATTTAATGTATTAATTAACAGTTGATTGTATATTTGCACAGATATTATCAGTAGCTTATGATTCATTAGTGTTTTCCCAGCAGCATTATAAGTTTGTTTATTTTAATTATTTCTTCTTTAATACAATGACAAATAAAAAAAAAATTATAAATTAATTAATTAAATCAAAATGTAGTTATTTCTTAGCCAAATATTTTTATGTCAATATGTGTTCAATTTCTGTTCAAGTTTCATGTCTATTTTATTTTTAAATATTATATCCACCATTCCTTACCTCTGTTAAAACTTTGGAAAATTATATGAAGGCATATATTGCCCTGTTATTGTCATAAGGAATTATGTAATTGTTCATAGTTTTCTTTTCCTGATTAGTGAAATTAATTTAGACAGTTTTCTGTAAAACTGTCTAACAGCTGCTGTGATTGTATCTTTATGCAATAAAAACTGTTTTATTTATATGGCTTGTTGACAATTGGATGTGTGTTGGCCCGATTGGGTAGCTTTAGTTGGACAGCGGAAAATGAAGACCTTTTTTTTAACTTGAAATAATTAATTATCTGTTGTGATCATGAAAATTATGCTTAAAAACGAATATTACAATCCAATCCAATACTTATTTATAGAGCACATTTAAAAACAACCAAAGTTGACCAAAATGCTGTACATAGGAGTATTAAAGATGAAGAAAAGAAGAAATGGAGGGGAAAAGTCTGATGTGAATTGGTAGTGTGTTCCAGAGTCCAGCAACTGCCAACGCTCGATCACCTCGTTTAACATCAGTATTTTTTCTGTTACTTTGAAAATGCATTTTCTAGATTATGTAAAGATCCCAAAAACAACATAATATTGCCCTATATTATCTGCACACTTTGAACATTGAACATAATTGAAAAAACAAAAATGTTAAAACCAATAGAAAGTATAAAATTCACTTTAATAAGTGCCTTGAAACAAATTGAATCTAAATTGAAACAATAGTACACAGAACACTGAATAAATTGATTCATTGGAATTACTAATTAAAAAAAAAAGTGGTTGTAAACTATTTATTTGGGCTGAATTTAAGCTCAACATAATTTGTTTGTTTAAATTCAGCTTATTTAAATTGTTTGCAACAATTTTCAATTAACCATTTTTCAGTGTAGCTGATAAAGCTTACTTTGAAATGTGTGGCATTTTAATTAATTTAATAAAGTGTTCTCTCCTTTATTTTTACGATCATCAAATATCACCAAACAATATGTAACCAGAAAAGAAAAACAATACAAGAAGGGATTTTTATTATATTTCATTATTCCCTTCCATTGTGAAGAAAAGAACAGGTTCAACATTTCGCAAAAAAAAATCCATTATACAGGAACAACATGAAGGTGAATAAGTCATGAAATTTTGATTTGAGTGTGCGCTACTCTTTCAAACCTCTATTACAGCTCTCAGCATTCAGCGTCTGACATTGTTTGAGTCACAGACTGAGGTGAAGTACAGGCCAAACACACACAATCGCGCACGAACACATCGCAGACATGCATGACACAAGTAACAACTAAATGTAAGCCTGTCATTTATGCTACAGAGAGGTGTGTGAGGGACAGGCTTGACAAATGAAACAAACAGAGCGACAAAAAAGCACCAGGACTGCACTTTCTGCTGTAAATCCGCCAGCAGTAGGATTAAGACTGTCCCATTAGGCGTGCTTTAAATACAGGTGCACCAGCTCTCTGGCTCGGGAGTAGAAGTGATTGCTGAACAAATGAACACAATTGTGTTCAATCTAGATGTAAATCCACATTGATCTCAATGCGAGGGTCAATCTAAGAGCGTAAACTATGTTTGTTTATGGCATCTTTAACACTAAGAATCAACTAAAAGTAAAAATCTGCACTGTCAAGAACAGTACATGACAGTGTTGCTAGCCAATTGTCCATAATGAAGGGAGTCGCTCCAGCTGCCCTGTCCTGTGCGCGTTTTGTGTGTGTGTGTGTGTGTCTGTGCGCGCATTTCTTAGCAACAAACTTGCCTAAACGTCGTTGTCTGTAGCCACTAAATCAAAAAGTTACGAATTGCCGTGAGATTACGTTGCACATAATTGAAAAGAAAAGGTCCACATTGTCCCCCGATAATGTCAACAGACTGGACTGTTTTAACAACTAGCTGAATGTAAAGAAGGACGAAGCTAAATTGTTTCTAATTTATAATCAATGTTCTCAACTCACAGCAATACAACTTTACAATGAGAACAATTGTTTGTAATCAATACTTTATTGTTATTATAATTTTCCATTTTCCATATTTGCAGTGCCTGTATTTTGGCTTTTTTTTTTTTTTGCAGTCCACTTAGAATCCAACTTGGAAATAAAATTTATATAAAATTTTAAATATTACATGCCTATAATATTAATAATATTAAATAAAACATGCCTGTTTTAATTTCTGTAATACATATGGCTGTCAAGCCAGGATCTTGATGGTTTATTGTGGGTATGTTGTTTACATGAAGAAATCTGTGTTACAAGTTAAATAAAAATTCTAATAAACAATTATATTTAGAATTTAAATAGTTTTTGTCTTGCGTTTACATACATTTTACATATGAATAGCCAAAATTAAAAGTTTTAGTTTTTTAAACTGCGATTAAAAAAAAAAAGTTCGATTAATTAGTTAATTTTTTTAATCGATTGACAGCACTAATTTTTACATTATACACACATCTGATGCTTGTATTTGCACCAGCACCACATCCACAACTTCACGCATTGGGTTAAATTAGGCTTTTCGTGTTCAGTCCTTTACTGCCACTGTCTCTGTTCAGCTGAGGGAACGGAAGCAACCCCATGACGTCAGACACAGCGATAATCCAGTGCTAAAATCTATAGTAAAACATGCCGTTTTTTTTTTCTAAATGGTTACATTAATCGAGTTTGTTATATATATTTCCATTAAAGTGGAATCTTTAATTGAATCAATTTACAAAATAATGTAAACTTGACTGAGTGCATCAATTCCTCTTTAAGTAAAACAAAGATATCCACCTCTAATATCCTCAAACACTGCTAATTATCTCTATACTTTACTATATTATACTATACCATCTCTATAGCAGGGGTGCCCAAACTTTTTCTTATGAAGGGGCAAATCCAAACTTGATTGAGGGCTGTGGGCCAAACTTCAATATACCAAACTGTATTAAATTACAAGTTGCCATACACTCTAAAAAATAACTCAAGCGATCTGTTACCACTACAGAGTTTAATACATTGTTGTAACTTAAAAATTCTATATTGCTGATTATATTAAAACTTTTAAATTGCCAGAGTAATTTTATTAAGTTTACACAACAGGAAAATATTGATAATTACATCAACTTAAAAAAGAGGGTAATTTAAAGATAAATATATCTGTCAATTAGTTTAAAACAATATTTAACTTATAACAACCCAAAAAAATTGCGTTGATAACTCAATTTTTCCACACCAATGGAGTTCTGGATTTCAAAGCTCCTCCCTCACTGAACGATCAAGAGGCATGTCCGGACAAGTTTTAAGCAGACCATTTGGCACAAAGGATACTTTAAGGTGAGATATCTGGGTTTTATATCATTTCCAAATCAATATTCTACATTCCATTAGTGTTGGCTACTCCTGGTAAATTATAGTTGATGTTGGCAGTGTTTTTTGACTAGAAAATAGTAGATAAGAAAGTAAAAACACATACGGTAAGCCAGAAAGGCAATTTAGTATATATGTCAAAATAACAAAGTTTATATAGTAGATGCTTTTTTCATATATAGTATTGCTTTATCCTGCATGTTTTATGTTAGTTACCCTAGCAGAAATATATATTCTGGAGCTTGCTCACAGTTGTTATCCAACCTGAAATTTGTATTTTATTCCTCCTGTTCTTATGGAAAATATTACATTTATCTACTGATTGCTAAGATTTTCATACAAAGTTCATGCAACTGTATTACAACTTTCTAGGCTGATCTGTATTTTAGATATAAGTAGGCTTTTATATAAAACAGGTTGGGGGTGCAAAATGTGTAAATTTGAAACATCAACATAAATAGTTTTGCTAAAACATTACAGACTACACCATGGTAATTGTGGGCAACCATTTCCATGCCTCTGTCAAGATTGTTTGTGTTTTTTCAGAACATGGGGCAGCCTTAGATCACATTTATCAAGACATCAAACTTAGAAAACCTCCAGATTTGCAGAAAGTTTTTATTTTACTTGTCCTTGTTGCAATGCCATGACAATTTCCATAGAAATTAAAAAAAAAAACACGAAACTGTCATCTGTGTATTTCAGAACTGCAATTTCAGAACTAACATGTATGGTACATTTGCTTCCCACAGAAGCCGAAAACATACTCCTCACTCATTGCATGACTTCAAGGCAGACATAATAAAAAGGTATGTATGTTCATTCAATGCAGATCAACACAGTGATGTGGATGGTCAAAGTGGGGAGCTGTCTGATGAAGGTCAAGATGACAATAATGATGTGACAGACCTGCCAAACTGCATAGAAAAAAAATGGCTTTGTTGTGTCTAAAACTGGAGAGCACTTTAAATGCATCTTACAGGTGTATAGAAGAGGTTGTTAAAGAGTTAAATTTTATATCTTGATCAGCATCTGGACCCATCATCAAAGGTATTTTACAGGCCTGCTTGGGTTGTAAAGCCCATCTTACAGTCCACAAATCTGTCTAATGTAAAACTTTTGCATGAAGTAACAAAAATAAACAATTTTCAAGTTATTGCAGATAAAATGGGCAAGAAATAAGGGATATCTTGGAGCGCTGGCCTGCATTATCAGATGCAACACAGGTAAGTTTAGTTTTATTTTTAGTCTAGTTTCACAATTTTGCAAGAAAATCATCTTCAAGTTATTTATGCTAAAAACTTCTTACAACAATAACATATTACATGTTATTTGTTGTGTTACACATTGTATACAATTATTCCATTATTTAATTATTCTATTTTTTCTACAGATAAATGAAGAATTCAAGAGGATAACCACTGTAGGTCTTGAATCCACATTTATGGCCACACTTGACAAATGCACCCAAAACTAATGGACCTGGCCTCATCCAGGGGAGGAGCTAAAGGGGAAATAATCGGAAGGATTAAGGATATGCTTCTTGAGGTATTGTAAATAATTTGTACACACTAGAATAGTTTAGATTTGTGTTAAATTGTCAGGTTGCCATCAGTTGTTTGTTCAGATAAAACTATATTCATTTACTGTAGGTACTTTATCTTGATATATATTTTTCTAATTAAACAGAACAATGCAGTTGAAGTATGGAGAGAAGTAGCCATTCACTGTCTTGTTGTCTATCTTGGAGAGAAAGAAGAGGATCTTTTTAAGGAGTTTGCTGTGAGTATTACAATGTTTTAAAATTAAAATTAAAATTAAATCTTCCCTTGACAGTGGAAACATACAAGACAAAATATATGCTCAATGACTGCTCTCTTTTAGTTTAATGTGTAGGTATATTACATTGTCCACACACACTGGGTTTACCTAGGTCTGTGTTATAATAACAATGTACTATTTAGTTCAATAAACAGATGTTGACAATAATGAGAAAGATTTGTAAAATGGGCATGACTGTTGCGTTTCACTTTTCCATTTAAATTACATTGTGAAACGAATTATTCTTATGATTGAGTGGCTGGGTGCATGACCATGTAAGGGGTAAAATAAAACAAAGTTTCCAGAGATTAACTGAAATCAAATGTAAGTAAAATAAAAAACTGAAGTAATTATAAATGTAATTATCTCTATCATGCTAATCTATTTTTTTATCTTGCTTTACAAGAATACACAAGAATCATTGATCATGCTAATCTATTTTTTTATCTTGCTTTACAAGAATACACAAGAATCATTGGTGATCTGTCAACTATGGAATTAAACCACAAGACGGGAACCATCATTGTTGAGGGAATCAGAATCCTGATTGGAATGGATATCTCAAGGTGTTGTGCTCTGCTAACGGGCATAATATATGCTCTGAATCTGAGCTACCCCAAGGAGCTTAAATATACTTGTTAAGTGTTTCAGAAGCTGTTTCTTGAACTTGATGGACTGAAGCCCAGTGCAAAAGTAATGCGTCTCAAGAACAGCATTTTCTGAAGCCTCTACTTATTTCAAAGTACATTTTGCTCTTTATGTTGCAACTATATTGTTTTGTATTTTGAAGTCCACATGCTGATCTTTTTATTTCATACTGTTTATATGAATGGTGGCATTTACATATGTTTGTTTAAAATAATACAAATGTTACATGTTTTACAATTAAGGTTAGCTAATAACAAGTAGTTTGTAAAATGTACAATTTATAAGTTAATAGTTAGCTTTAAGTGTATCAATGCCTATAACTCTTGTTTTGTTGGAATTCATTGTGATGGCATAGCTATGCATGCATGCACATTTTTGAAGGCAAAGCTGACGGGTCAGTTTGTTTATAATTTGTGAGACAGTACACATTTGTGTTTTGTAAACTTTGAGAAGTGCAATATTTAAAATAAAACATTGAAAACTGTGTTTCTAAATAAATAAAAAGTTACTGAAACTAAAATTGCTGTTGTTTAAAAATGTATTTCTTACAAGCACCTAAATTAACAATAATATGAAAACAAACAAAAAATTTAATTTCAGCTACTTAATTTTTTTGAGATTTTAAACTTGAAAACTAGCATGTATAATTATGGTAATTAAGTACATAACACTGGTTTTTGTTTAAATGTTAATAAAAAAGCTAGTTGGAACAACTTAATTTTTTAAGTACTCAACTTAAAAAAATTGAGGTTATGCTATGTAAAAATACCTCTGATTGAAGAGGTAAAGGTAATTTGGCTAACATAATAAAGTTTGCTGTCTGAACTTCATTTTGTTAGATGTTGCCGTAACTTGAAAATATTGATGCAAACTGTTGCGTTGATTTTTTTTGTTTGGTCTAAGCAATATTTTTTAGAGTGTAGATAATCTCCAAATGTATTACCTAATATTTAAAAAATAAATAGAAAGCATTACTTGAAATAGTATTGACTAATGCAGTATAATCTTATTTTATTTTATCATGACTTTACTGTAAATACATCAACAATCCCATTTATAACACAAGAGAGTTCAATGTCAATTACAGTAGTTAAGCTGGACCTGCCTTGACATGCTCAAGTCACAGTATTTCAAATTTGATTAATTAACAACATTTCATTTAAATATTTTATTTCATTTAGCTCTTTTGATGGCTCAGCATTTAAATGAACAAACAAAAGGTCACGCTAAATCTCAAATGACTATGTCTTCTCTTCTCAGACGGGATAGTGGGCCAAATCAAGGGCTACTATGGGCTATCTTTGGCTTGCGGGCCATTTCTGCTCTATACTATACTACGGTATATCAGTGCGTCTTCCTGTCTCTCTTTAGCAAAACAAAGATCCTCACATATATCCATCATAAATGTAGTACCTTTGAGCTTCAACTATACATTGAGCTCTCAATCATGGACTCACATACACCCCCTGAAATACAGCCATATGGGGCTAATGGTGCAGAGAGAGGAACAAACAGAAGGCAATGATATACACATTATCATTATGGAGAGGATGTTTGCGTACACACATATGCACACCCAAACCCTGCGGAAACACCCAGATGCATTGAAAATATATTAAAGATGACTTGAAACTGCCAAAGTCTGCCTAGAAGTTTCAGCTCGAGTTTGATAAGGTTTTTCAAAGCTCTGCCAGCTGAATATATTTGGCAACTTTGAGTATTAAATATCTTCATTATGAAGAGGATGCATTAAAAACATACTGAAAGTATATTGTAACAACTTAAAGCACAGGTGTCAAATCCAGTTTCTGGAGGGCCACAGCTCGGCACAGTTTAGCTTTAAACCTAATTAACACACCTGATCAAACTAATTGATTCCGTTAGACTTGTTTGAAACCTACAGGGAAGTGTGCTGGAACTAAACTGTGCAAATTCAGTAGATTGAATTTTTACCTGTCAATGCGAATCGTACGTCATAAAAAACCATAGCGAATGAGGTCAATTCTGACCCTTTCATTTCGGAACAAACTTCAGCAGTGTCCCAAACCTTAAATCTCATACATGAGGACTAAAAAAAAGCTTTTATATTGTCATGTGTATTTAAGTATCGATTCAAGTAATTTACATTGTCACAAGTATTTAAGCATGTTAACGAGAGAGAGCGCAACGTCCGCCAAGTAAGCAATATAGGCTAGACTAATACTGTTGCATAAGTCATGTGCATAAATCACACCATGGAAATGACGTTAAGATGCCTACTCTGTTAAAATAGTTGGGTTAAAAATACCCCAAGATATAATCCAACTATTATGGCACTATTATAGTTATTCCCAACTATGGGCAATTTTAACCCAATGCATTACTGGTTTAAAAAAGCCTAGATCAGGGGTCTCAAACTCAATTTACCTGGAGGCCGCAGGAGGCAAAGTCTGGGTGAGACTTGGCCGCATAAGGGATTTCACACAAAAAAAGTCCTCAAATGTCATTATTAACAGTTTTAATTATTTCTTCCGAACATGAAGTGTCCTGAACATTAATAAAACATTGAGTGAAGATTATGAACAGTTCTTCTGAACATGGCATCTTTTGCCTAATTCTTGCTGCCAGAGACTTGACAGCGCTTCTTCTCACAAATCTGAACCACATTTGGCTTTAGAGCGGAAGCAGTTGAGACCCTCAGTATGGCTTGAAGATGATCATCATTAAGTCTAGACCTGTCTAGACTCACTCAAAACTTCCATTCCCTCACCTAAAAAAAGGCGTATATATGTATAAACAAAACACCCCCACCCCACTCCAGTCACATCAGTCTGTACCAGTCTGTATCTACCTATAATATATATAAGATGCAGGCTGTAGCTAGGTAGGTTGCAGGCTGCAGATATGTAGCTAAGTGGCAGGCAGGGGCGGGAACAGCTTACCTTGGTTCCGGCCGGCGCGAGTTCCCTTTAAGTTACCCTTTAAGTTCCACTTCCCGCCCGTCACAGCGTCTAACAAAGGGACGGGGTGCGTGGTGACGTCACCGGCACCCCCGCCCCTTTGTTTACACGGCGGGCAGGGAATGCCAGTGACCGCTGTGTACGGATAGAATCAGCGGAGCGGGGAGCGCTCTCTCTCCCCGCTCCGCTGATTCTGTCAGTGTACAGCGGTCGGCGCGGGCCACAAAATTTTGCACTGAGGGCCGCAAATGGCCCGCGGGCCGCGAGTTTGAGACCCCTGGCCTAGATTGTCAAATGAAGATGGTCAAATGAGAACTTTTCTGCCATAAACTATAGCAAAACAACTTGTCAAAGGCTGCATTTTCACTGCAGATCTTGATGGTCAATTCCGATTTTGTGACTGAATCCAATATTTTTGATGACCTGCTTACATCATCTTTTAAAAGTGGCTCGTATCCGATCGTCTGCATTTACACAGCACATGGCAAAAGCACAATGAGCAGGAAAAAAAAAAAGAGCGGGTGCTGATTAACAGCTGATGTTTAAAGAGAGCTCTTTTCTCTATTCCTGTATGTAATCTGTTCGCAGCTTTTGACAAGCTGTTTTACTATAGTTTGTGACAGAAAGGTTCTCATTTGTCAAACTTCTTTTTATATATAGGTCTTTTTTTAAACCTTTAGGCATCTTAATATAATGACCATGGTGTAAATTATGCATGTGACATAGCTATGCACTAGTTTTATATTAGTTGATATTGGTTACATGGCAGACATTGGCTTTCTCGCTCTCGTTAACATGCCTTAATACCTGTGCTATATGACAATATAAAAGCTGTTTAAGTCCTCGTGTATGAGATTTAAGGTTTAGGACTCTGCTGAAGTCTGTTCTGAAATGAGACTTGACGTCATTCGCTGTGGTTTTTAATGACGCACGACTCTCATTGATAGGTGAAAATCTGATCTACATGCTTACACTGCAGACACGAGAACACAGATCCGATTCATATCGGATAAATTTCCTCATATGAACAAGGCCTGAATCTGATTTAAGTAAATCGGAACCCATGTGAATCCATGTGATTTGTTCCTGCTTACACGTACATGGGCTATGTACATAGGAATTGAGTCACTTGAACAGTGCAGTGTAAGTGCGGCCAAAAAGAATTTCTTAAATTAAACCCTGTGAAGAGATTAAATGCAGGAATGGGGAAAAGAGCGCTCTTTTATTATCAGCTGTCAGTCAGCGCTCGCTTTTTTGTTCCTGCTCATTGCGCCTTTTGCCTTGTGCTGTGTAAATATAGACAATTGGATACAAGTCACTTATAAAAAATGATGTAAGCTGGTCAAAAAAAAAAAAAAAAAAATCAGATATAGCCACAAAATTGAAATTGACCATCAAGATCTGCAGTGTAAATATAGCCTTAGTGTTCCCATTAAGCATTTTTATATTAGCGATATTCCAAAGTGTGTATAAAAATAGGGGGATGGACACATGGCTAATGGTTTCCTAAGGAAAAGTAAACTGTATGGGGTTTATAGTGTGTTAATTTTTGGGTGAACAATCAGTTTCAGCTCCATTTTTCACTGCTTTCCTCACAGTATCTTTGGCTACATTAGAACCCTTTCCCTTTGTTTTAGCTCCATAGGCAGAGATTAGCCTCAGCGTTCAAACCTCCTGTACATGTAAACCCAGTATGAATTCAGGCTGCAGTAGGTGATAACCATTGTCAGTCTTTTCCACACGGCTCATTCAGGTAGGGGTGTAGCCCAAGGTTAGGCCAGTGTTGGTGGAGAATGTCACTGGCATAGAGGAGGAATAAATTCAGCCCACAGGTAAAGAGAAACACACTCGGCAGGCCGCTGTGGTGCAGCCAAAGCCCAAAAGACTAACTCTGGCCTGAAGGAGGAACTAGGTCTGAACAAAGGAGTTTCTGAGATGACAGAAAAGCAAAAGCAAAAGCAGGATGTGCCCTTAAGGACATAAAAAAGAGTGGGCACTGCATCACTGTCAGCTGAATCTTGATAAATTTCATCAGCTGAACTGAAAGGACTGCAGCCGTTTGAAGTAATAACATGAATTTAGCTCATAAATCTGATTCAGGTCTTGAGTCGCCTGACCGTCACTTTAAGGTTTTCAAACTGCAGGGTGTGAGGAGAGGTTAGATAGGGTCTTGAGAAATGATTTATTGTCATCGAGGACAAATGACTCTAAATACTTGTATGGCGTATTAGCAAAAGTGTTCGAAATCAATAATTCATTAAAAGCTAAATTATTCTATGGATTCTGATGTCTGCATGTGCTGTAACTTTATAGAGTAACGCCACTTGAAAGGGCATGGAGGTATATCAGGGATGTACCAATTTAGACATGTTGTACGCATTTGTGACCTGTGACCGATTTCATAGCTATTAAAAAAATAAACAAATAAAATAAACAATGCGCAATTAAAATGACAATAGCCCCTAATAAATTCCCAAACTTTCTGTGTGACACACAGATCTGTGCTCCTCTAATGGAGGAGAGCATTAC